TTCCAGTGATGCACATTTTGTTTTCACTGTACACTTTTTATTGCTGAAATCACGATAGTTCTCAAATTTTGAATTCTTTATACTTTCTCCAGTCTTCCTGATACTCCTGGCAGTTTCAGCTCAGGCCAGAAAAGAGGTGCCTTTGTCACCACTGAGAAATCACCTCCTGATCAGGTAAGATTAAGATGAAATCTGTCTACTTCTTATTACTAATACTAAAAACTTTATAGGTATCCAAAAAAATCTATGGGAATATTGTTACGATTGAAGTAAAAAAAAACAAAAAAACATTGTAACATAATAAAATCAACATATATTGAGGCCACTGTGCCTTCTAACAGGACTGATTTTGTAGGGATCCTGAGCTAGAATAGAATCCCAAAAATCATGTTGGTCAGTTTGCTGGGAGAAGAGTTTTCAAAAATATTGTAATTGGCTGCAAGGAGCTTCTGAAGGCACCAAAAATAAACTGTTGTGGCACCTGATTATTTTTGTTTTTACACTTGCATTGCTTATAAAATATAAATTTTATTATACCAACATTTTCAAAATTACTTTAACAGTGTGTCATTTGTGTTGCATCATTTGTGTGCCAGGAAATAAATATAACTACATTGTAGTTGCATCACAAAAATCTCTGCACATCAGTGTTGTGTCAGTGATTTGCTGAAAGGGCACACTTATTGGCACTGACATCAAAATTTTATTTCATACACACTAAACAACACATACATGTAACAAGATTTGTTCTCACTCAGACTTTGGATTGTTACTATCAGTGCTAGGATGCTACTATTAACTTTTGTAATAGTAAGGCATGACTCAAATAATTGAGATATAATTCGGATGCCAGGTTGTCCCTGGGAATTTGATAAAATGGCTTTGCTCACCAGAGTAGACAGTTAAAATTGTACCAGTATTGTTTCTCACAACAAGAGTAGACTAATGTGCCATTGATGTCAAAGATAGATGGCTAATCAGCTGCAACCCATCTAAGGAAACCTTCCCACCCTGTAAAAAATGGACATTCATGGCTATAAAGACTGCAACAATCACTCATTCTAAAAGTTCAGTCTCCGAGGACCACAACTTTAAACAACTGGGTATATTGATTATTTTTCAACACTGTTGATTTAACCATAGATCTTAGAAAGGTCTAAGGTCTATGATTTAACCATCTTTGTTAATTGTAATGCTTTATGTAACATCATTAGGCAGCATATCAGTGTCTTCACATGCATTCATTTCTTCATCCTTTCTCAGGGTGATGTTTTCCCAGTAGACATCCCATTTATGTCATTACTACAAGAACATACTCCTTGTGAACCTCCTAAAAATAAAAGCTTAGTTGCTGCAAAAAAAGTAAGTAAAGCAATTGCTGTCCACTGGTGTATCACTTTTACATGTTTATGAACCATAGTTAATTAATGAGTGTGTGCACATGTGCACTGCAGTGGTAGTACAGGTTTGACTAATTTCTAAAATACAGTATAAAACAGCCATTGAATTCATGATAGACCTTAGATGCAAATGGTAATGATTTTGTGAGATTCACAGAGCATGTAACTTGTTTTGTCGTTTAACCTTTTCACCACCAGTTCCCTCTTTTCATCACAAATTCACAAAATGATAGCTGAATAAATAAAGCTGAAAATTGACTCAAAACTTTTCTGTTGGCTCCAAAATTAGAGTTTATTTCCAGAAATATTGAAAAATATAAGAAGAAAAAAGCTTAATAATTTGGGCAAGAAAGTCTAGTGGTATAAAGGTTAAATAGTGTTCTATTTTCTATCATTACAAATCATCAGAGCTATATAGGTCAGTTAATGAAATGGCTGGAGAGAATGGAAAACTATTTAAGGGACAAAAACAAGTTTTGTGGCTTTTTTTCAACTAAGTAGCCTTGAATTAAGTTGCTCTTTGAGATTCCTAGAGTTTCATCCAAGGTTTTGATATCATTATGTCAATTATTTTATGGTCTGAATATGCACAAATTGTGGGAAATATGTAATTTGCATTCAAATTTGAATGATTTTTTTGTCAAGCTCAAAATTACCAATCATTTGAGTTTCCCATTTGATTGGATGTTTGAATGTCATTTTCTTTTGAGTACTGTTGATTCACAAAAATTTTGTCTTTTACTTTTCGGACACATATTCAAACCATTAAATATTTGTTGGGTATTTTCACATTCAATAATGCATGATACACCTTTGATGATCATCAATTTTGATAAAGTAAGTTCAACTCAACACAATATTTCTTTCTGAAAGATGAGCATTTCTACATTAAACTATAAAAAAGAGAAAATCAAGTTCAAAATCATTTGCATTTGCCAAACTTTTGCAGCAGACATTTGATCCACGTCTTTCACACATTACGTGAGATCTTGGAAGTTGAATGGAATAATTCAACCTCATGTGCATTTGCCATTTGGCACAAACATATTTAAAAAAAAAAACATTTGTAAACATAACACTCTTTTGCATTTGGTTTCATTAACGTAGGCTTCAGTGGACCAACCAACTGATCAAACAGCATCAACAGGGTCTAATAAATCAAATAGTAGCCAACTCTCCGCAACTGACGACTTTGTCATGGTGGAACTGGTAAGTCTTCATATCAGTATATTAAAATATTCTGTTTTATGGCAACATATATTGTTTTAATTGTGACCAAGTGAAAAGCATCTTCAGAAATTATGGGCTAAATTTCTCAGTCAGTGAAGGCAATTTAATAATAATTCTGGGCATTTGGTTGTTGTTATCCTCATTGTTATACTGTAGTTTTTATAATGATTTACATACAGCACTAGTTTTATGATAAAAGTATGTTTTCTTCACAGAAACCAGCCTTTGCAAAGACAAATTCATGTAGTGATTTGGGTGTATTTTATCGTGAATGTCAAGCAGCTGCACCGCTGCTAACTTTTGATGACTGTGTTAAAACAGAGAATATTCCAAATGAGCTTTTTCAGGTAAGCTTACAGGGAGAGCCAAGTAAGGAATGCCATAATGCAAAAGTTGTGTTCAAATAGTCAACTCTGCATTAGTGACCACAGCTATATAAAGACCACCAGTCTATAGTGACTCTGCTCAAGCTGTCCCAAAGCCACCTGTCAAATGTGACAACCTTTTTAAGCAATATTTATGCTGATTTGCCTTTGTTTGGCGACCAAAATAATTTTTGGCATTCCGTTTATGAAACAATTTTTAATATCGTCAGTTCATAATAATTAAATGTGTTTATGTTGCAATAGTACCATCTCATTATTTTCGAAATGAATGTTATGTCAAATGTATGTGATAACAAAATAATCCAACCACTATACAAAAACCACCCGTCGCTATACACAGGTTTGACTGTACCTGTAATTAATCACTAAACAACGTTTGGAGAAACAAGATATCAAAACACACAAGAAAAACTATGATGTACCGAGAAAGGCAATAAGGATGGCAATTTTCTGGATTGGGCAATAATTGTTTGTTGGAAAAACACATACAAGTACCATATACCCTGGGATTTTGAAGTGCACTGTACACTAATCTGAATGGATGAAGCCATTTTTCGAGATGTCCATGGTCATGTACTTTCTCAGATTAAGAATGTTGATAATATTTAATGAAAATCTATGTAATTTTTTGTGAGAGAAATCTGGGAAACCCTCAAAAATTGTTCTTTATGTAATATCCAAATAAAGTTGATTCTGATTTCTGGTATTATTTAGTTGTAATGTTCTTCCTGCTACATGTATAAATGTTCTTAAAATGTTTCTAAGCTCAGGAACTTATCAATGTCAGAAAAGTCATAAATATCCAAAATTAGTAATAATATTCTTGCTCACTATGACAGCACTGCTAGGGATGACTGGATAGTGTTATTTGTCATATGATTCAGAAAGCTCTAAACATGCTTCATGTGAGATCTTGTCGGAACCTGTAAATCTTTTTAATTATTATCTGCCACCTGTTTCTCAAATGTTACCAGTACTGCATGGAGATTTCAATCTTTACCCCCCCCCCTCCCCTCTTCGAGAACAGTCTTGTTGATTTATTTGTTTCCATGTGTTTTTGTTTTCAATTTTCAGAACGAGTTGAGTGATCAGTTACATCTATATGAAGAGCAGTTGTTTGTCTTTGATGACTTTGTTAAAAGTTTGCAAGAAGATTGCAGTGACAGTAGTAGTTAATGAAACACACTCATTTCTCTTTCTATCATATAGTTGATGTTTTTTTAAAAAAAATCATTTACATTGTGCAGTCTGTGGTTTTTAAAACTTATAGATTTAATTAAAAAAAATGGAGGTTAAAGAACCAGAATCTCTGGAGAATAGACAATTTTACAGTTAATTAAACCAGGGGGAGTTGGCTGTCTTCATTCTGAGCTAACTGTTTGCTTTCTGCATGAATGATGCAAAGAGCCATTATATCTGACATGCCTGAAGACATTTTTACTAAAACGTGACAGGGATGATTTCATGCATTTTGTTTACTTTCTTCATGAATGATGCAGAGATGCTAATAAATGATATTGCTCAAGACATGCTGCTAAAACGTAACATGATTTCAAGCATTTTGTTTTCTTCAATCAGTGTCAGTGATCTTGATTTTTCAGAGCTAAATGCAGATCTAGATTTCAAAATGAGCTCTCATCTTCTACTTTCAATCATGATTACGGTATTATTCGTTGTGGTGTATATGCCGTCAAATTCTGAATAGTTTGGTATTCAGTTTATTTGCTGTAACACTGAGTGAACTCTGATATAAGTGCTGCAACATTGAGTGAACTGTAGTAATGTCAACCAACAATCAGTGTTAGTTGAGTAGAAGCAGGCAGAGTCCCTGCAAGCTTGCAAGACTAAAAGTAAAATGTTGATTTTACTTTTTTGATTTTTTAGTGCAGTTACTAGCGCATGTATTGCTTATATTAGAAGCGCAATTGTTGTCCATAACACTAATTTTAGTGGTGCTATGATTGTATACTTGACTTTGTCGCTCAGTTTATATTATCAAATTGGCAAATCAATCCGATTGTGTATAAATCAGCAAATCAGATTTTTTGTATGTTTGATGTTTTCAACTTCTTCTAAGTAATAGGATGGGATATTTACGCAAGCTAATTAAAACAGCATTGTGTGCAAGCTCACACTTGTGCCCTTTATAAAGTCGGCATTTTATCTACCTCAATAAAAAATCTATTTGCTTTGGCAGGAGACTATCACTGTAATTTTTACTGTCAATTCCTAGAGAGCACTATTATAGTGGCAATTATTTATTCCAAACAGAGCACATTAGCCCTTTGATTGTCAACTTTCATTCTCTAGTGTCTGCTATATTTTTTTCCCAGATTTTTGAAAATATTAGATCAAGGCTTTTAGCTAGTGAGAAGTTATGCTACAGGTTCAAAATTAACAAAAAAAATTATATTAAAATATACGTCAACATGGTTTTGATGATATTTGAAATGGTTAATGAGCATCACATTTTTCTATGCCCAGTTTTACAAGGAGTGACAACCGTTATATGTATACATAGAATATGATAGTCTGCACGAGAGTCTGGGCCTTATTGCATGACTCTCAAAAGGTCACACATCCTAGTACTTTCAAGTGGTACAAATTCAATATCAATAAAAATTATTTTTCATCCAAAATGCAAGCAGTTTGAGTTCAGTTCAACATGACAGAAATTAAGTTATTGTATCCGAAAAAAAAACTCCCAGAAATGCATGGATTTGAGACCTTTCTGGTCATGCACAACTTTATAAAGTTTGTATAAATTCTGTGTATTTGTCATAGCACAAAACGTGGAGCAATACATTCCTTTTAATGACTTTTATTTCCACAATTTTATCAGTATTACTCGGTTATGTATTTCTAGTACTTCTTGTGATTGGTTTACATTCAAGACAAACTTGCTATGATAACTTAGCCCAATACCTAGTTTCTATATACACCATTTATACCTATCAGTTTAATTGTTTTTCTCAAATGGTTTGCTTTTATTGAGGGTAGTGTTGAAATTATATGGACCTCGGGTTTAAGTTTGAGTGACACTGATGAGAGCAAAGATGGCAATTGTTTTTACCTGCATATATTGTCATATGCAGTTTAATTCACACATTTTATTTTTAGTTCAAGAATCAGTTAGTCTGTGCCTGGTTTAAATTCTGGATAAACTGAATATAATGACTGTGTTTTGAAAATGTGAAATAAAATACAATTCCCATTATGTGAAATATTTTAAGCAGCCTTGTGTTTCACTTATTTTATTGAAATGAGTTTTATTAGTCCCCGTTCGGACGTAGTCCGAAAACGGGGACTTATGTTTTGCCCTGTGTGCGTCCATGTGTGCGTCCGTTGA